GGCATACTCACCATCATGCCCTGGGGCCCAGACCTTGAACTGTGTAAGGGGCCCCCAAAAAATGGAGCTGCTTCCAATTCTCCCAGAACATTGAATTTTGTGATCACAGTTGCAAGCAGCCTCCAGAGATCCTGTTCTACACCAGACCAGTGGAGCCAAACTGCAGCCCATCATCATCCTCATTTGGTTGTAAGTAGGCAATCTAGTATATTATTAATGACACTAATCTATAATTTTCATTACATTAAAGGGACACTATAGTCCCCAGAACGACTGGAGCTTAATGAAGTGGTTCTGGTATCTATAGCCGGTCCCTGCAGGCTTTTTAATGTAAACACACACTGTGGGCAGCACTGGCGTTAGTTCGTTTGGCAGCTCATATAGGTGGGGCATTGTGATGTCACATGGGGGGCGGCAAATACAGCTGTTCCCCATGCAGCCACAGGTGCCACTGTGCTGAGAGATTGTGATTACTCTTCACTTCCTCCCAGCTTACAGAGCAGCGCATGGGAGAGAGAGGGGAGGAGGCATGATTTAATCTTACAACAAATCCAGTAAGCAAATCTTTATAAATTTGGGTGGGATCAGATCTGTTTCCACAGTTTATTGGTGTTTACTCTGCTGTCTGTATTAATATTGAGGGATTTCTAAGTAGTAACATCAGTGTGTGTCAGCAGGGCCAGCCATTGGGGTGTGCACGCTGTGCGGTCACGCAGGGTGCCATCACAACAGAGGCGCCCGGCGGACAACACAGCTCACAAGTTGGGGACACCAGCCTATTCAATTTAAACGATTCGCTGGTGGTCCACTGGTGCGCACCAGCAGTAGGTGCAGTCAGATTATAGCATCTCCCTCGTGGTTCCGGCGCTCAGTTAGTGAGTCAGAGCACAGGCTCAGAGATTCTCAGCCTGCGCTCTGACAACATTGAAAGTCAGAGCCGTGAAGGAGTGGGTATGGCAAAGAGCTACTGATTAGCATAACATCAATATCCGTTATAAATCCAGGAAAAGGTGGGCACCATTGCACTGATTTGGTGGTGCAATGGGCCTCTTGACTGGTTTTGCCCCCCAGGCCTAAGGCTGCCAGCCCTCCCCTGCCTGCAATATATGAGTTAAGTGGGTCAGCACACCCCACACCCTCTGTGGACCGTCAAAGGTCCTGAGCGGTACTTCCTAATTATAGAAATGTATTTCTTAATCGAACATTTTTCCCTGATCCAGACACAACTACTGGACCTAATCAGGGCACAGTACCGACTCCTAAATAGAATCCGCGAGCCACCAATACCACTAAAAGAGAAAAAGACATAAACCGGGTCCTCGGATTCTATCACCCGTGAGAGTAGTATACCCACATTTGGGGTGATACCTCGGGGGACAATAAATTTCCTATTGTATGTATATAGTTTGATATTTGTTTTTTGTTTTTATGTTTCATGCAATTGTTTAAACAATGCTGATTGAGTAGAAGAAGAATACATTAAAATTTCAGCTCATCATCACGTACACGATCAGGAACACTACACATACAACCTTAAATAACACACTAGGAGAAGATCACAAACACCACATCCACATGGCAGACAAATCGGCCCAAAAGATGGGCAGACTACAGATCTGTTCACAAAATGTTAGAGGTCTCAACACTCCCAAAAAGAGACGGATGGTACTCACAGAACTTGCAAAACAAAGGATGGACATAGTTTTCTTACAAGAAACCCACCTGAGAGGCACAGATGCCCCCAAACTCAAACACCCCAAGTTTCCACACGTGTATTATAATAATTATATTAAAAACAATTCAAGGGGAGTCGCCATATTGATAGGAGCGAAAGTACCCTTCACTTATACGACCCATATCACAGACGAATCTGGGAGATTCATAATATTACAGGGTCTAGTGGGGATAACACCTCTTACTCTAGAGACAATATATCTCCCATACAAAAATCAATGCAGGGCCTTTTGGAAAATCTTGACAAAGATCAAACATGATACAAATGATATACTAATAATTGGTGGAGATTTTAATCTATCACTTGATAGCAACAAAGATAGCTCATCCCACAATAGTAAACATCTAGATACAACAAGATACCAAATGAAACCTATTATTCACTCCTCCCAATTGACAGATTGCTGGAGAATTCTCCACCCAACAACAAAAGACTTCTTCTATTACTCTGCTCCGAATAAATCCTACTCCCGGATAGATTTCTTCCTGACATCACATAAAGACCTAGGACTGGTGAAGGACACATCCATAGGCCCAATAACGTGGTCAGACCACGCGCCAATTTACCTCACATTAAATATACCGTCTCTCCCTCGTACTAAAGGACAGTGGAAGTTAAATCCCTCACTCCTACACTCAAAAAATATTGTAGATTCAATAGCACTCTCAATTAGACAATATTTCAGGGAAAACAAAACCCCAGATACCTCTGCCTATACACAATGGGAAGCTCACAAAGCAGTAATCAGGAGAGAATTAATTAAATGGGACGCACAAATGAAAAAAGAAAAAAACAAACGAATCGACAAACTCACAGACAAAATAAAACAGATAGAGGAAACACATAAACAAAACATGTCCGACATTACATACCGATCCCTGATTGCACTTCGAACAGAGCTCCACTCCTTACTACAAGACAAAACTAAAAAAGCCATCTTGTGGACAAAACATCTATACTATGCACAAGGGAATGGGAGCGGAAAATTGCTTGCCCAGGCCCTAAAAACTAAACAAACCCTGACATATATCCCTAAAATAAAACGAACGGACGAGTCTGTAGCACAGACAACAGAAGACATAGCTGAAACATTCAGGGAGTATTATACGTCTCTCTACAATCTTAGAGAAAAAGGACCTAGCACTGAAGAAATAAAACGATATCTTGAAGACAAACTAGACATAACACTCCCCCCAACAGCAGCGAAGTCACTAGAGGAACCATTCACATTAGACGAACTCCGACTTGCCATAAAACAGACCCCACACAACAAAAGCCCAGGCCCTGATGGTTTCTCAGCCACATACTATCAAACATTCCAAAAATAATTAACTGAACACTTTTTAGAAGCAATAAATTCAATCCCGCAACATAACCACATACCCAAATAAGCCCTTGAAGCAACCATAACACTACTACCCAAGCCAGGAAAGGACCTAGAAAAATGTGCCAGCTACAGGCCAATTTCTCTTATAAATATAGATGTTAAAGGTCTTCACCAAAATGCTGGCATCTAGGCTTAAACCTTTCCTCCAAGATTTAATACACCCGAATCAAGCAGGTTTCGTACCAGCATGTGAGGCAAAAGATAACACTTCCAAAATCATTAACCTAATCCACCTCGCATCTCAAACACAAACCCCATCCATACTGTTAGCAATAGACGCAGAAAAAGCCTTTGATAGGGTAGACTGGACATTCCTTTTAAACACACTAGACACTTTGGGATTCGGTGACAGATGGTTGCAGTCGATTAGAGCAATTTACTCCACTCCAACTGCGAGACTGAAGGTCAATGGGCAACTCTCTTGTCCTTTCCAAATAAGTAATGGCACCCGACAGGGGTGCCCGTTATCTTCCCTCATGTTCATCTTATCCCTGGAACCCCTTATGCAAGATGTACGCAAAAGGGCAGCACAAAACCAGGATACACCACTGCATGTAGACAGACAGACTAGGAAATTGTCCAAATCACAGGTTGAAATGCCTTGAATTATAGGGTATTTGTGCTGAGTTACTTATGCAAGACTTAATAGCACGTAGTCCAGTGGTTGGCAACCTCTGGCACTCCAGATACTGTGGACTATATCTCCCATAATTCTCTTGCTGGCAAAGCATCATGAGAGATGTAGTCCAGAACATCTGGAGTGTTGAAGGTTGTCTACTCCTGGCCTAGTCTATTTACTGGAATGGATATCACTGGGGATGTTAAGGCTGCATTGTAGGAGGCAGCTGTTGGCATGTTTTCATAAGTAGGGAAGAGTCTTACACCATGAAGTCCACATTCAATGGGACTTAAACCATTTCCCCCATCGTGAACTCACATATTTACAAATGTACAAATACAGTAAATATTAAACAATTAATTTATTAGCAATCAGGAAGTATGATGGTGCCCAGGCTTCATCTTTACTTTGAGGCTACAAATTAACTTTCAGAGAGACCTCTCGTTTCCCTTGTAAAAACATCCTTGTGCAATCCATGTCCAAAATTAACAAGGTATCTAAAGGCAGTGAGAAAGATAATAATTTCTTAGTATTATTTAATGATTACCAATAGATAAATAGAGGCTTTTTAAATATGTAAAACTCACTGCAGAATATATTTAAATTCACCACTGGCATCTATTTAGCGTGTGATTGTTGTTACCGTAGAGCTGAATAATCATTCAGTTGAAGACATTGTGGCTGAAATCAGTACCTTACGTTTTAAATTAACAGTCTG